ATTTTACCAGGCAAGGCGCCACTGAGCTGTTCTATGGCTCTCTTTCAGATGCGGTCTGGCCACAAATGATAGCTCGCCGAAGTGGCTTCCTATCACGTGGACATTTCTAGCAGCCACACACTCTTGAACGCACGTTGTTTCTAAATGTGGAGGGGAAAACCGGAGGACCAGGAGAAAAATCCACGCAATCACGGGGAGAGAGAGACACACACAAACTCCAAATATACAGCAGGCATCGCCAGGGTCGGGATCGAACCCACGAGAAGTAGTGTATGCAGGGGTGGTGGTTAACGGCAATGTCCCTATGAACCCAGCGAGCTTAGTTCTGACATCAGCGGTGAGTGATATTTGTACACCGCTCCCAGGGTCCCCTCGACAAACCTGCCTCTACTGGCGTGGTGAAGTATGGTCAATCACCCAGCAATGATTTGCTAAATGGTTGCAAATTAAAATAAGTATTCTCCTGTTGCATTAGGTTTGAGACTGCTTATATATCAGTACAAATACAAAGATACCCCGTGTAGCCTTGAACAGACTATTAGGGCAAGTTCTGTTTGCCCGGCACACCTTTGAAGGCCCGCACGGTGGCACACGAGGGGGTGGGTGGATGGGTGGCCAGCACCACGCCGGGCCGCCTTTGTCTCCATGAGTGGCGATGTTTATACCACCGCACCAGCTACTCGTTTCAGGCTGAGTCGACCCAAGGGGAGGCCCAGGACCGGTTCAGATCATCTCTATCACTGGTGTTGGTGGCCGTGAGCGGGAATCAAACTCAGGTCAGCGGGTTTGTACATACGCACACTCAACAATAGCCGCCATTCGCCACTAAGTGGCGTCTCCACGACGCCTGTGCCAGGCTAGGTGCACTTTGGAGGCCACGTGCTCGTGTCGAAGCATCTCTCTGGAATTCTCTTTGTTGTTGTCGTCGTCGTCAAGAACTAAGAAGAAGGCGTCTCTTGGGGTTGGCCGCGCGAGGGCGAAGTGTCTCGGGAGTGATTTCGTGGGAGGCACGAGGGTTATCACACCGGTGTGTTTGTTGTTGTTGAAGTCAATTGTTTGACGAGCATAGGACGCTCATTAGAGATGCTTTTGATTTGGGCGCGAGCGAGGGGAAATTTACACCAGGCGTATTCCCCGTTTTGTTATTTGCCGGATAGTTTTTTTTCTCTCCCTCTCTCCCTGCAATGAAAAATAGGAAACAGCTGGGAGAGAGAGGAGACAGGTTGGCTTCAACATGAACACACACGCAAAATAAATACGGCCTAAAACGACCGTCAGTTCCTTCTTATAAAACAGACTTCTCTCCTGGCGGGGGACACTCTAGAATTAAACACACCAGCAAATAATGATTTTGCTTTCATAAACAAACCGAGATGAAAATCACCGCCACGCTCGTTCGTGGTGTTCCTCCAGAGTCTTTCTCGTCGGTGGTCAATATTGAGTATTTTGTGGTCGCTCTTTTCAAGACCTCCAGTGTGTAACAGAGTGTGCACACAGTGACGACGCGACTGCTGTGTGCTCATTCCAAGCGTACATGTCATTGCCACTGAACAAAATGCAGTTTTTGCTTTCTCTCTATCCCTCACTCTCTCTCTCCCTCAGTCGCTCTCACTCTCTTTTTATATGTTTTTATACGATCAGATGAAACAAGAAGATGCTCGGTGTAGTCGGCACTTTGCTTCGTTCATCATTTCGTTTTTTATGATTTGCTTTATGTAACCCCATCCTCCCTTTTAAAATGAAAGATTTCACAAAAGATGTCACACTCTGCTCTACTTACCCCCTCTCTCTCTCTACCCCCCCCCCCTCTCTACCCCCCCCCCCTCTGTACCCCCCTCTCTCTACCCACCCTCTCTACCCCCTCTCTCTACCCCCCTCTCTACCCCCCTCTCTACCCCCCTCTCTACCCCCCTCTCTACCCACCCTCTCTACCCCCTCTCTCTACCCTCTCTCTCTACCCCCCCCCCCTCTCTACCCCCTCTCTCCCTACTCCATGTCTATGTTCCCCCGATGTTTTCTATGTAATATTTGTAATATTACGATAATTATTTTTACGACAAGTGCTCTCTCTCTCACTCTCTCACTCTCTCCCTCTCTCACCTTCACACTTTCTCCCTCACTTTCTCACTCTCCCTCGCTCTCACCTTCACATTCTCTCACTCTCCCTCGCTCTCCCCGTCTGTATTTCGAGGGCCCTGTTGGGGGTTCCTCTCCCCTTGATTCCGCGCGCACCTGCAGGCTGGCCAAGTGGGGGGCTGTGCGGCCCACCCGCGCTACGTACTGTGTGTTGAACTTCTTTCGCACCGTACGTGGCCAACCGTGATAATCGTAGATGAGGGGAAAGGACAACAAACTAAACACAAAAAGCAGCTTAAAAAAATTAACCCGTAAAAACAAAGTTTTTCACTATAAATCCTTTATTGCGTGGCGGCTAGAGTCCTCTCGTCCTCTGGCTTGAGATGGCTGCCACCTATGGGTCAGATTATTGCCTGCCACCATTAAGCAATTGGTAATTAAATATAATTTATTTTTTCCTAAAAAGTGTAAAATTTTGAAAACATTTTTCACGAAAATAGATTGTCACGCACAACGAGTCTGTGTGCAAAATGTCAGCTCGATTGGATCACGGGAAGTGGGTTAAAAAACGACCGAAAGATTTGCACGGTCGTAAGCGCGCAAGCAAGCAAGCAAGTGAACTTAATATAAAGGATTTAATAAGTATAACCCGTAAAAACTAAGTTTTTCACTATACAGTAAATCCTTTATATGCGTGGCGGCTAGAGTCCTCTCGTCCTCTGGCTTGAGATGGCTGCCACCTATGGGTCAGATGATTGTCTGCCAGTATTAAGCAATTGGTAATTAAATATTTAATTTGTTTTCCATAAACAGTGTAACATTTTGGAAAAAAAATTTCACGAACATTAATTGTCTCGCACAACGAGTTTGTGTGCAAAATGTCAGCTCGATTGGATCACGGGAAGTGGGTTAAAAAACGACCGAAAGATTTGCACAGTCGTAAGCGCGCAAGCAAGCAAGTGAACTTAATATAAAGGATTTAAAAAGCACTTGCCCCAACAGTCTGTTCAGGCACGCACGGTACTTCGTGCGTGTGTATGTTCGTGTGTGGGTGTTCATGTGTGGGTGTTCGTGTGTGTGGGTGTTCGTGTGTGGGTGTTCGTGTGTGGGTGTTCGTGTGTGTGGGTGTTCGTGTGTGTGGTGTTCGTGTGTGGGTGTTCGTGTGTGGGTGTTCGTGTGTGTGGGTGTTCGTGTGTGGGTGTTCGTGTGTGGGTGTTCGTGTGTGGGTGTTCGTGTGTGTGGGTGTTCGTGTGTGTGGTGTTCGTGTGTGGGTGTTCGTGTGTGGGTGTTCGTGTGTGTGGTGTTCGTGTGTGTGTGTTCGTGTGTGTGGTGTTCGTGTGTGGGTGTTCGTGTGTGAGTGTTCGTGTGTGTGTGGTGTTCGTGTGTGTGTTCGTGTGTGTGTTCGTGTGTGTGTGTTCGTGTGTGTGTGTTCGTGTGTGTGGTGTTCGTGTGTGGGTGTTCGTGTGTGTGTGTTCGTGTGTGTGTGTTCGTGTGTGGGTGTTCGTGTGTGGGTGTTCGTGTGTGTGGTGTTCGTGTGTGGGTGTTCGTGTGTGGGTGTTCGTGTGTGGGTGTTCGTCTGTGTGTGTTCATGTGTGGGTGTTCGTGTGTGGTTGTTCGTGTGTGGGTGTTAGTGCGTGTGTGGGTGTTAGTGCGTGGGTGTTCGTGTGTGGGTGTTAGTGTGTGTAGTGTGTGTGTGGTGTGTGTGTGTGTGGGTGTTCATGTGTGTGTGTTCGTGTGTGTGGTGTGTGTGTGGTGTGTGTGTGTTCGTGTGTGTGGTGTGTGTGTGTGGTGTGTGTTCGTGTGTTAGTGTGTGTGGTGTGTGTGTGTGGTGTGTGTGTGTGGTGTGTGTGTGTTCGTGTGTGTGGTGTTAGTGCGTGTGTGTTCGTGTGTGGGTGTTCGTGTGTGGTGTTAGTGTGTGTGTGGTGTGTGTGTGTGGTGTGTGTGTTAGTGTGTGTGTGTGTCTGTGTGTGTGTGGTGTGTGTGTGTGTTAGTGTGTGTGTGTTAGTGTGGTGTGTGTGTGTGGTGTGTGGGTGTTCGTGGGTGCTTGCTCCGTGCGCTTGCTGTAGTTTGCAGCCGCAGCTCTGCCGAGGAGTGGCTTAGCTCAGGGGGCAGTGTCCCTCCCTCTCCCTCCCTCTCCCTCCCCCTCCCTCCCTCTCCCTCCTCCCCTCCCTCTCGCGCGACTTCACAGCACAGGTGTGTGTCCTCGACAGGTCTTTGATGTGCGCGCCAGGTATGTGGAACACACGCGGCATTCTGGCGGCTACAGCCCCCCGCCCCCACCCCTTGCCTTGCCTGCAACCTCAGCCGGGTGATGAGAGGGTTCAGGGCACTGTCAAAGCCTGCGTTTATTGCATTGCTTATCAGGCTGCTCTATCTGCAGTCATAAGCCTAACCTTGATATAAACGGGGTTGTGTTACATTTCCTTATGAAGAGGCCTCAATGAGAGATGTTGGCCCTTCGGCTAAAGTTTATTAAGATAAAGAAACATTAGCCGCGCTGGTAACCGCCGTTGCGGTGGGCATGAGAGTGGCGGTGACGATCACGATTCTGCCGCTGCTGCTGCTGCTCTAAACGCCGCCCTCCGTCTCAGCTCCATGGGACACACACCTCGGTGACGACGTGGACATTGCCAACAACAAACAACAACATGAGCACGCAGCGGAAAAGTTTACGATGGAGTAACGTGACATCATCCAAGACACACCCTTGCCATTGACCCTTTACTGCTGCTTTTGAAGGTTCGGTTTTATGAGCTGCCCTTGTTTTTCACCACCCCGCAGCAAAGTGTAAAGTTTAGCCAGGCGACGTTCGGGGCTCGATTCACGCCGCTAACTTGGCCGTCGTCATCATCATCATCGTCCCGCGACTTTGTGGCACACAAACGAGGAGAGAGGGGGCGAGGGGACAGAGAGAGGGGCTTGGATTTTGCAACCTCCGTACGGCCCCGTTGAATAAACACATCGACGATTTCATCACCAACCCTTAGTTTGGCGGAGGGATGTTAACTACCTCGCCTGGTATGCAGGAAGTTGTGGGTTCATGGGTGTGACCCTGACGACGCCTGCTGCTCTATATTTTGAGTTTGTTCGGTCTTGTCCCGTGGTCGCGTGTATTTGTCTCCGGCTCCTCCGATTTTTCCCCCTCCACATTTAGAAACAACTCAACGCGCATAGAGAGTATTTGGCTGCTGTCAATTTCCACACGACGACGATAAACCACTTCGGTGACGTATCACTTGTGATAGCCAGATCACTTCTGAAAAAGGGGAAATATAGGTCAGTGGGTCTTACCTGGTAAGATTTCAAAAAATGTTAAGTAAAGAAAACGGCAATTGAAGCAGCATCCATTCCTGATTATCTTAATTTAGCATTATCATCATGATCATCAGCCTCATTTATCAATCATGATTTATCAGTGTCATCATTACATGTATCTGTCATCGTCACTACCATCTTTTATGTATCAACATCTTCATGACAACTTTTTACCGTCTTTCACAAATCATTCATATCATCATCCAGCAGCAGCATCATCAAAAGCTGTCACTGTTGATCGATTTTGTTTTTTTTGCGGAATTTCAACGAAACGACGGGAAAAAAAAAATAACCCCACGCGACTCGGGGGCCTTGGTGCAGGCCGCTAGACGGAGGAGACGATGGCTCCCTTGCGTGCTGGCTTGTTTTTGTTTTTAGCCGAAACGTTTGATGTGTAGAACTAAAAACTAAAAACATCCCACGTGCGCTGAGTTTCCACAAACTCAGCCGTGGTTGCGGCACGGCGCAACGCGCGAGCGATAACTTTGTCTCAAAACTGACAACACGATTCAGAGAGCGAGCAAGCGGCCGCGGCACGCCGGCGTCACGGAGCGAGCCACAATGATGGGCTCGAGGGTGGCGGCCGGAACTTCTAATCAGCAAGCGGTGGTGCAGGTGACAACAGCGGGGACGCAGCGAGACACGGAGCGCCTGCTGCACAGTGATTGAGTGCCGGCTGTCTGGGATGTTGTGGTAGGTGCGGGCTGTGTGGGATGTTGTGGTAGGTGCGGGCTGTCTGGGATGTTGTGGTAGGTGCGGGCTGTGTGGAATGTTGTGGTAGGTGCGGGCTGTGTGGAATGTTGTGGTAGGTGCGGGCTGTGTGGAATGTTGTGGTAGGTGCGGGCTGTCTGGAATGTTGTGGTAGGTGCAGGCTGTGTGGGATGTTGTGGTAGGTGCGGGCTGTGTGGAATGTTGTGGTAGGTGCGGGCTGTGTGGAATGTTGTGGTAGGTGCGGGCTGTGTAGAATGTTGTGGTAGGTGCGGGCTGTGTGGAATGTTGTGGTAGGTGCGGGCTGTGTGGGATGTTGTGGTAGGTGCGGGCTGTGTGGAATGTTGTGGTAGGTGCGGGCTGTGTGGAATGTTGTGGTAGGTGCGGGCTGTGTGGAATGTTGTGGTAGGTGCGGGCTGTGTGGAATGTTGTGGTAGGTGCGGGCTGTGTGGAATGTTGTGGTAGGTGCGGGCTGTGTGGAATGTTGTGGTAGGTGCGGGCTGTGTGGAATGTTGTGGTAGGTGCAGGCTGTGTGGAATGTTGTGGTAGGTGCAGGCTGTGTGGAATGTTGTGGTAGGTGCGGGCTGTGTGGAATGTTGTGGTAGGTGCGGGCTGTGTGGAATGTTGTGGTAGGTGCGGGCTGTGTGGAATGTTGTGGTAGGTGCGGGCTGTGTGGAATGTTGTGGTAGGTGCGGGCTGTGTGGAATGTTGTGGTAGGTGCAGGCTGTGTGGAATGTTGTGGTAGGTGCGGGCTGTGTGGAATGTTGTGGTAGGTGCGGGCTGTGTGGGATGTTGTGGTAGGTGCAGGCTGTGTGGAATGTTGTGGTAGGTGCAGGCTGTGTGGGATGTTGTGGTAGGTGCGGGCTGTGTGGGATGTTGTGGTAGGTTCGGGCTGTGTGGGATGTTGTGGTAGGTGCAGGCTGTGTGGAATGTTGTGGTAGGTGCAGGCTGTGTGGAATGTTGTGGTAGGTGCGGGCTTTGTGGGATGTTGTGGTAGGTTCGGGCTGTGTGAGATGTTGTGGTAGGTGCAGGCTGTGTGGAATGTTGTGGTAGGTGCGTGCTGTGTGGAATGTTGTGGTAGGTGCGGGCTGTGTGGGATGTTGTGGTAGGTGCAGGCTGTGTGGAATGTTGTGGTAGGTGCGGGCTGTGTGGGATGTTGTGGTAGGTGCGTGCTGTGTGGAATGTTGTGGTAGGTGCAGGCTGTGTGGAATGTTGTGGTAGGTGCAGGCTGTGTGGAATGTTGTGGTAGGTGTGAGCTGTGTGGAATGTTGTGGTAGGTGCATGTTGTGTGGGATGTTGTGGTAGGTGTGGGCTGTGTGGAATGTTGTGGTAGGTGCGCGCTGTCTGGAATGTTGGGGTAGGTGCAGGCTGTCTGGAATGTTGTGGTAGGTGCGGGCTGTGTGGGATGTTGTGGTAGGTGCGGGCTGTGTGGAATGTTGTGGTAGGTGCGGGCTGTGTGGGATGTTGTGGTAGGTGCGGGCTGTGTGGGATGTTGTGGTAGGTGCAGGCTGTGTGGAATGTTGTGGTAGGTGCAGGCTGTGTGGAATGTTGTGGTAGGTGTGAGCTGTGTGGAATGTTGTGGTAGGTGCATGTTGTGTGGGATGTTGTGGTAGGTGTGGGCTGTGTGGAATGTTGTGGTAGGTGCGCGCTGTCTGGAATGTTGGGGTAGGTGCAGGCTGTCTGGAATGTTGTGGTAGGTGCGGGCTGTGTGGGATGTTGTGGTAGGTGCGGGCTGTGTGGGATGTTGTGGTAGGTGCGGGCTGTGTGGAATGTTGTGGTAGGTGCGTGCTGTGTGGGATGTTGTGGTAGGTGCGGGCTGTGTGGAATGTTGTGGTAGGTGCGCGCTGTGTGGAATGTTGTGGTAGGTGCGTGCTGTGTGGGATGTTGTGGTAGGTGCCGGCTGTGTGGAATGTTGTGGTAGGTGCGTGTTGTGTGGAATGTTGTGGTAGGTGCGTGCTGTGTGGGATGTTGTGGTAGGTGCGTGCTGTGTGGAATGTTGTGGTAGGTGCGGGCTGTCTGGAATGTTGTGGTAGGTGCGGGCTGTGTGGGATGTTGTGGTAGGTGCGGGCTGTGTGGAATGTTGGGGTAGGTGCGTGCTGTGTGGAATGTTGTGGTAGGTGCGTGCTGTGTGGGATGTTGTGGTAGGTGCGGGCTGTGTGGAATGTTGTGGTAGGTGCGTGTTGTGTGGAATGTTGTGGTAGGTGCGTGCTGTGTGGGATGTTGTGGTAGGTGCGTGCTGTGTGGAATGTTGTGGTAGGTGCGGGCTGTCTGGAATGTTGTGGTAGGTGCGCGCTGTGTGGAATGTTGTGGTAGGTGTGTGCTGTGTGGAATGTTGTGGTAGGTGCGCGCTGTGTGAGATGTTGTGGTAGGTGTGTGCTGTGTGGAATGTTGTGGTAGGTGCGGGCTGTCTGGAATGTTGTGGTAGGTGCGCGCTGTGTGGAATGTTGTGGTAGGTGTGTGCTGTGTGGAATGTTGTGGTAGGTGCGCGCTGTGTGAGATGTTGTGGTAGGTGCGCGCTGTGTGAGATGTTGTGGTAGGTGTGTGCTGTGTGGAATGTTGTGGTAGGTGCGTGTTGTGTGGGATGTTGTGGTAGGTGCGCGCTATGTGGAATGTTGTGGTAGGTGCAGGCTGTGTGGAATGTTGGGGTAGGTGCAGGCTGTCTGGGGATGATGTGGTAGGTGCGGGCTGCTTGGGAGCTCAAGGGTGGCACTATTTGGTAATTGGCCTACTCTTTCATGCTGGTCAAACGTCTTTGAAAAAGTGGGGATACAAAGACAAATGTCTCCCGTATAGCCTGAAAAGACTGGAGGGGCAAGTGCTGTTAGCGAGTAGCACCTATGAAGGCCGGCACGGCACACGAGGGGGTGGGTGGTCAGCATCACGCCCGGCCGCCTTCGTCTCTCCCCAGTGGCGATGTTTACTACACACCGCACCAGGTACTCATTTTAGGCTGAGTCAACCTAGGGGGAGTCCCAGGACCGGTTCAGATAATCGTCGTCATTGTCGGCCGTGAGCGGAGATCGAACTGGGGTCTGCTGGGTTCGTCAGCGCGGCGTGCTAACCGCTACTAAAACTTGCCTCCTATCGCCACGTCCGGCGTGCAGTCAACCATTGCCCCCCCCCCCCCTGCTACGACCACTGACGGTCGTCTTTGGTGTAGGCATCATCAGCAGGCGACCTGTTGGCGACGCGTCACCACCGGGCGGAGGTTGCGGTCACAACGAACGGGCATCTGGCCCGGCAAAAAATTCCCAAAACCGCCCGGACCACCACCGCACCAATTGGCACCAACAAAAGAAGGCGACGACTGCTGCCGCTGCTGCTGCCGCTGGCGCTGCGTACAATTTGTCATCCTTCTCAATGTCCGTGGTAGGTCGAGTGACGACGTCGCAAGAAACACCGTGGCGGCACGCGAGGTCGCGCCACCGGTGGTGCCTTCCTCGCACCAACACATCTGCCACTCAAAAGCGTCGTCGTCACACGCAAAACTCCGAAACTCGACGGCAGATGATACTACACGTGACGAGCATCGCAATGGTGCACGTGGATTAAAACGCGTAATTATGGGCTCAGAAAAAAACTCACGTTATTCGTCCTCGGGTAATTGACACGCTAATGATGTAATGAAGCTACGGGAATGTCTCCGTGTTGGGCACCTTTGGTGGATTTGCTTCGGTTGGCTGGGAACACTTCACACGCCCATAAACACGCAAATAGCCTCAAGGTGTGTCCCGCCTGTTTAATGGGGCATTTTTAATTAAAATACTTGAGATGAAATCAACCCTAAAACATTCCACATCTCAGAGCTCTCAACATAATATTGTAGGTGAAGGTAAAGGCGCATTGGTGCGATTGCTCTCTGATGCCACTTGGCAGATGGGTCTTCACTAGAGGGAGCTACAGAGAGCCCCTCGAGACGGTATTGGGCCTACTCCGCCATGCTGGCCGGACATATCCGGAGACGTGGGAGGACTCGTACTTTACCTCCACTGCATGCGACCTGTAGCATGACTGGTGAACCCATCGGCAAGATTTGGCCAGATTCTCTAGGCCAGATTCTCAAGGTCAGATTCTCAAGGTCAGATTCTCAAGGTCAGATTCTTAAGGTCAGATTCTTAAAGGCCAGATTCTCAAGGTCAGATTCTCAAGGTCAGATTCCCAAAGCGAGATGCTCAAGGCCAAACTGGATTTTCAGGACGTCTTGTTTCTACTGCAACATAATTTAACATGCATTTTTTGGTTTAGTTATAATATTGCATTCAAACCTTTTATTATAGAAAAATGCATTGAAGGGTGACTATATTGAATTACTTGATTTAGTGGTGCTGCATGAAGAAAACCCGGAATGCTGTTTTCCATGTGGCTCAGGTAATATCTGTCTTCCTCCATTAATAGTGAGCACAGCAAGAGCTGGGTAATAACGCGTAACCCGACACCCCTTCAAACCCGAACCCGCGTGGTCAGCGACGGACCACCCTGCAGCGCGCAATCACCAAGCGCAGGGCCCACGAAGGCGAAAGGTGCCCTGAGGGCGCCAGAGGCGGTCGTTTCCAGTGGCTTTTCGACAACCCTGGGCCAGCGCTCGAGGCCAATTACGATGGAAAAATGGAAGTGATGCAAAGTGTGTGGGGGGGGGGGGAGCCTCGTGCTTGCGAGTTCTGGCCACGTGGTGCGCGTGAACGTTCAAGCAGCGTGACGCCATCGACCCAGTTGGCCACGCGTGCCCCACCTGCAGTGCATGGCTCGCGCCTGGGGAGGTTTATACGGGACACGAGCGTATAGCGTGGTTATCGACGAGGCTCGATTATTGCAAACTCTCTCCTGTTAATGGGCGCCACGTTTGCGAGGTGTTAACTACCTCGCCCGGTATACAGGAGGTCGAGGGTTCGATCCTGACCGTGATGCCTGTTGTATATTTGGAGTTTGCGTGTCTCTCTCCCCGTGGGCCCTCCGGCTTTTCCCTCCACATTGAGAATCAATGTCACGCCTTGAAAGTATTTGGCTACTATACTTTTCCACGTGATGATAAGCCGCTTCGTTCAGCTATTATTTGTGGCGAGGTCACTTCTCAAGAGCTACATAGCTCAGTGGGCTTTACCTAGTATATATTACCTACGAAATCACCCAGAAATGTCTGTCCGTCCCGCGCGTGACGTCACTACACATGAGCCCCCCCCCCCCGCGTGACGTCACTCCACATGAGGCCCACCCCCCCGCGTGACGTCACTCCACATGAGGCCCACCCCCCTCATCAATATTCATGAGTGGGTGAATTTTTACACGAACGCAGAGGAAGTCGAGCTTAATTAAATAATTTATTAAGCAAAGTTGCTTCAAATGACATTTTTTTACAGGTGACGGAAAAAAATTTAGCTACACAGCACATTGCTTCGCACCCCTCCCCTCAATAATCTGGAGCGGGTTACGTCACTCCACATGCCGCACCCCTCCCCAATAACTATTAGCGGGTGACGTCACTCCACATGCCGCACCCCTCCCCAATAACCATTAGCGGGTGACATCACTCCACATGGGGCACCCCCCCCCCCCGCCATTAATAATCATGAGCTGAACAATTGTTCTATTCAATATTTCAGATTTATTGCAATATACACCCAACCTTGGACGAGTAAAAAAAGCTAGTGTTTAAATAGTTAACACCACTCTACGGGACGTCTGGCAAAAACCATGACCAAGCAGCAGCGTGCACAACACTCTTTGGCGCGCGTCGTGACGGACACCGCAAGATCCGACCGTGTCCGTCCGGTCGTCGCTGAGCTGCGTTGGCTTCCTGTTGCCGAACGAATACGTTGCGAGGTCGCGCTCATTACACGCAAAGTGCTTGCCAAAAATTCACCACGCTACCTCGCTGATCTGGCCACGGAGCATAAACCATCACTCAAATTACGGTCATTCTCGCAGCAGCGGCTTTTGGCTCGCCATCGAACAAAGACGGTGGTGGGTCACCGCGTCGCGATGCGCTTCTGCGGCCGTCTGGAATGCTCTTCTGTCTGCTATTAAGACACCGCTAGAACTATGCACTTTTAAATCATCTCGATTGAAAACGAATTTATTGGAAACTGCTTTTTGTATTTAGTTTGTTGTCCCTCCCCCACACCTCCGATGAGCACGGCTGGCTACGTACGATGCAAAAGAAGTTCAACGCGCATGACATTTAACCCACCGCACGAGACCTGCCTAGCGACTGTGGTGACCCCACTCACGCTGCTGGGTGGATAGAGGCGCTCGCGGATCGAAGGTGCGGGGGGGGGTGAAGGACAACAACCTAAACACAAAAATCAGTTCTAAAACATGCAATTGGATATACAGGACTTGTACTATACGTAAACATGTACTCGATTCGCCGATTGGCTGAGCTGATAACCATTGTGAGAGGAATTGTGCCGCCTCTTTCGCCAACGTCTAACAAGAAACACAACAACAGCGTTGCCGTGTCTGGCTCACAAGGCGAGGCTCGGGGAGTACGCAGGCTCCGTGGAATCCACCGACTAAGCGGCGACTTGGACTCGGGACCACGGCTGGACTACAGCACGAGGCTGCCTCTGAGCTGATTGCAAGCACGGTAGTGACCACTTTAACCCGGGACGCTTTGGCGAGCAATATTATCCATAATAGAGGTTTTACAAATCTGGTTGTCGCCTGATGATGCTGGTTGTAATTACTGGCTAGAAGTGGTACTCGAATTGTAAATGTTGTGGGTTTACTCTCCAACACACCGGTGTGCTGAACTAATAACGAATTGGCGCGTTTTGATTACGTGACAAACCTTACTAATCGGCTGTGTCGGGTGGTGGTGGGTTTAACGACACATTTATATTTGCACAATGTAACCCAAAAAAACCTGTATGATAAGAAAGTTAAAACGCTTAAAAAAAACGTGAAGACCGAAATATATTGTATACATATATAAAAATATCAATATCTACATGCTTAAATACATTATAGGCTCAATTTTAAAATATCTAAGACGGCAAATGTAATTTCCAAAATAATGTTGAGTATTATTTTTTTACTTTTATTCACTTTATTATTATTTTTCTATCTACGTGACTTTACCGAAAGAACCAAAGAAAATGTTTTGTTTCAAACAGTCGAGGAATCGGGACAGATATTAATAAAACAAAATTGGCCGGGATATTGTAAGTGTGGAGGTGTCACCTCGTACACACGGAAACTAAAACCATGCGACAGTTCGGGCTATACTTAACTACGATTTATTTACCAAGTAAGGCCCACTGAGCTACTATATAGCTAATAATGGGGGTTTTCCCCTTTTTTCTGGCAACAAAACTGAAACATTTTTACAAGGATTCATGTCTGCATTAATCACAATACTTGCAGTCAAAATGCCAACAAAAACACACTGATAATATATGCATTGTCCTTGAAACTGATTGGTCCACACCAAGGGACGTCTTTCTTTTGAGCCTCGACCCAATTGGTGCTAGACCAGAGGACGCCAAAAGGCGTACACAGCTCAAAGACAATGCTGCACTATCAAAGTAATGAGGGCTCGGGGTGAGCATCTGGTTGGCCACATTTTCAGAAAAAAGGGGAAAAACCCTCTAATTATATTTTGGTACTGGCAAAGGAGGTCTAATGATACTATATAGCTCTTTTTCAGAAGCGCCCTTGCTATCACAAATGATAACTCAACGAAGTGGGCCCATCATCGTGTGGAAATTTATAGCGGCAGGCAACTACTCTGGACGTGTGACGTTGATTCTAAATGTGGACGGTCAAAACCGAATGACCCCGGAGAAAAATCCAAGCGACCACGGGGGGGAGAGACAGAGAAAGGGACATGGAACCCACGCACGACCTCCTGGATGGCAGGCGAGGCTGTTAAGATTTCACCACCATCTCGCGTCGTGTCACACGTGGGGAGAAGACAACGATGCGGCCTTCGTCGACATTAAAGGGGGCGGCTCTCAGTAGTTGTGGCACCGTGGGCCTGGCCATGGCCACACCGCATCTGGTGTGCGTGCTGCCACGCAATGCTGAGACGAGTCGGCGGCGGGCACCTCCTGGCGCGTTAGGCCCAGCACCAGGGAGGGCCGTGACGGTAAAAGAGGCTCCAGAGAAGAGAGGCCTCTCCCCCAAGGGCACGTCCCCTTTATACACGCCGATGGGTGCCCACATTTTCATAAAAAACGAAAAGCAGATTTTAACACCGAGTCCCCCGGATCGACGTCAGAGTTTCTGAGAATGCAGCAAAAATAATTTTACACTCGCAGTGAATTGTTTTATAAACCCTGCCATGAGAGAGAGAGAAATGCACATTTGTTTCTTGTTACCGGGACAAAATCAAATGTTATTTTTGCTAAAAATGAATATATTGTGTGTGTGTAAAGTAAGACGATTCTTTAATTAGAAGGCAAAGGATGCGTCGTGATTTTTTTTTAAGCTTACATTTTGTTTATGCATTATGTTGGACTTCTTTCGCACCATACGTAGCCAGCCGTGTTAATCGGAGGTGTCGTATTGAGTCCATGTGCGGTGTTGATTCTATGGTTAGTCATAGTCTATGGGCAGTGCTCAGTCTATGGCTAGTTTTGAGTGCATGGGTAGTGTTAGTCTATGTAGGCAACCGTGCTAATCGGAGCCATGCTCCCCCCCCCTCATGGTTTGCTGCTGCTGCCTCTGTGTAGAGGGATGATTTCTGCAAACTAGGAACGCGGTGTATTTTATCCCCGATTTCAGCTGCCATCTGGACACAACGTGTGACTGACTGCCTCTCTCTGGCACTGCCGCTTCACTCGAATCAGTTTTCTCGTTTTTACCACGTGAGCTGCAGCAGCCAGTGACGGATTGGGACTAAAAATAACTAAATCGGCCCGGGCATTTTGTAAACACACCGGCCCCAATTCGGGATATGGGCAATTATTGTTGTTGTGCGATGACCAACTGTCTAGTATAGCAGCAGCTGGATGTTGCGTCGCGACGTACCGTGCAGTTAGCGTGGTTTTTCCGTGCGATCTCATGGGCCCAAGAACACGTATGGGCCGGTGAGGGAGAAGCCATTGGGGCTGCTGGATACTATGGGGACTTAATGTCGGCGGAGAGAGCGTGAATACGCAATGAAGCGTGCACTTTAGAGGTCAGTTCAACACGTAGTAGGCTCTCGCGACCAATATCATCCATAATATAGGTGTTTTGGGTTAGAACGCGTAACTATAAATGTGTCATGAAACCGGCCACCACCCGACACAGCCAATTACTAAGGTTTGTCACGTAAACAGAACGTGCCAAATCGTTGCTAGTGTACAGCACACTAGTGTGTTGGAGTGCAAATCCACAACATTTACAATGTGAGTACGACGTTTCGCCAGCAATTACAACTAGCATCATCAGGCGGACAGTCAATAAAATATTTGAACTACATTTTTGTAATTTTATATATATATCTATAATTCGCCTACTCTGATCACATTTTAAATCTCCCCACACAGGGGGCCTCCACCGGCACTCGGAATGGACTGGCCCCAACGGGGCGTTTACCCGTGGCAGCGCCACATTTGTTGAGCTGATGTGCTTATTATGTATTTCACCAGGGAAGGCCCCACTGAGCTATGTAGTTCTTTTTGAGAAGTGACCTGGACACAAGCGGTAGCTCAACGAAGTGGCTTTATCGTGTGGGAATTTATAGCCGCCAAATACTTTAAACGCGATGTTGATTCTAAATGTGGAGGGAAAGACCGGAGGACCCGGAGACAAATCCACGGGACCTTCGGGGAGAGAGAGATGCAAACTCCAAATATACAGCAGCAGGCGATGCCTTTATAACTACTGTGAGTGAGCTGATTCTTGTTTGAGGGTGACAGCAGCCTGGCAGTGGGCTCACCGGGCCGTCGCCTTCACACGCCGTTTGGTTCCAACGGAACAAGATTTCTCTTTCAGCTCAGAACGTGAATGAGACAATATCCTCCAAAGTAGAGTGAGCAATAGCACCGCTGAGTGGATTAAGAAGCCTTTGTGAGTGGCACTCGTTTAAAAAAGCTCCGTGGTTTGTGCCGGCATTGCTTGGTTAATTATCGTAATTTATTTAGGTAGCTGTGTCAGGGTATAAATAAAAGTTAGACATTTTAATTGCCAAAAAACAGGAGTGAAACGTGTTGCGTTCACCTCGGGGAATAAATACTTCTTTGGTAACGTGAATAAGAGATTGTGACCAAAGCAAGGACGTAAAAAAACAGGACACCGAGAATTTCAACTGATAGTTTGTCAATATTTTTGGAAAACTTTCTTTCATCAGGATCCGAGTTCATTGTACTCTAGATGAGGCTTGGTAATCTGCGACAAACCAAACATCACGTTCCACTTCGTGACATATTACAACCATGTGGGATCGATCCCGACCCTGATGCCTGCTGGATATTTGGAGTTTGCGTGTCTCTCTCTCCGTGGTCGCATGGATTTATCTCCGGGTCCTCTGATTTTTCCGTCCACATTTAGAATCAACATCACGTGTTTAGAGTATTTGGCTGACATACATTTCCTATAATTTATGGCCAGGTCGCTTCTGAACAAGAGCTATATAACTTAGTGGGCCTTCATCTTCTTGGTTCTTTCGGTAAAGTCACGTAGAATAGAAATAATAAAATAATAAAAATAAAACATAATAAAATAATTCTCACGACGTTTCGGCCACAACGCAAGCAGCCGTCCTCAGGTGAAAAACAGGTCTGTCGAGAAGACAGAGTCTAAATTATTATTTCCATTCCACGTGACTTTACCGAAAGAACCAAGAAGATGAATCCCTGCAGTCACGAAAGCTTTAAATCGAAATTTAGTGGGCCTTACCTGGTAAAATAAAAAATAGTTATAGAAATGTAAAGTAGGCAAATCTGAAATGCCATACGTCGACAGTGCCACGAGCAAGAGGCTGAGCTGTCCACACCGTGACGGGCTCGCTGCTATCGGCGGCACGAGACTCTGTGGGTGGCTGGAGGGCCGCGCCGTAGCGACAGGCTCGTCTGCTGTTAGCCGTGGCTCTGGAACGCCGGTGTATCGGTCGCGTCGTGGCCTGTTGTGCCGTGCGCCAGCTGGGTGGAACAACGTGCGTTCATCATCTGCCTCGCGTAGCGGTGGCCAATTTTTCCTAGCTCCCTTGCTCTCTCCCTGTCTCTCCCTCTCTCCCCTGCCACCTGGCCACCCAACACATGGTTGATAGTCGGGAAGAAGTTGAGAAACTGACAGCAAAACTCTAGGGTGCCTCTGCTTGGGTGGGGGGGGGGGGTTTCATGCCGCCCGGTGTCCCCACGCGTTCGGTCAGAGACAGAACTTTGCACTCTCATTTCATTCAGAAGGTCGCGGTGGTGTTTGCGAAATCCGCACGCGGTAATTGCTTTGTTACAATCTACCGATTAATATATTTTGCGTCCTTTGTTTCGCCAGACTTGAAGGGGCCCGAGTTCCAAAGTGAGGCGCGGGTTTCCGAAAGAGACCGAGAGTTGGCGTGACACAGGGCAACGGGGTACGAAATCACGGTCAAGGCCTTTTTGTTCCCACCCACACAAAACAAAAGAGATTCAAATTGGCCACTGTCGCTTTTCTACATTTTTTATAGATATTTTTTTAAAGAATAAAAAAGTAATGTGCACGTGACACGAAAGTAAACACCAACGGAGCCCGGCTTTTATTTCGCCGGCAATTATCCCCCGTTGCAGTTCTTGGTGCCAATTAGGCTACGGCATCATTCACCGTGTCCTGCAGCTGTGATAAGGACACAATAACGACATTTGTACTCTAAATGTAAATGTTGTGGTGGGTTCACTCTCCAACACACCGGTGTGCTGAAATAGCAACGAATCGGCACGTTCTGTTTACGTGACAAACCTTACTAATCGGCTGTGTCGGGTGGCGGTGGCGGGTTTAACGACGCATTTATATTTACGCGATCTAACCCAAAGAAACCTCTATTATGGATAATGACATTTGTAGCTCTTTTGCATTCAACCTACTTCCTCGCTCGTTAGCAGCAGCCCACCACAATGCTTCATCGCCACCATAGTCGTCGTCGCCATCTCCACCATCATCAACTGATCAAATAAATACGCAGTATTCAATGTTGATAATAGTCTTTAGTAAAAACAATAACAACAACAACAAGCATTTGAGAATTTGCCACAACCACATCTGCTGATGCCCATTCACCATGCCAGGGCGCATCACGGCGGCGAGACCGCTCACGGCGTCGTAGCCGCGGAACAGAAAAAAGGGGATTCAGGAGGTGGGGGGGGGTTGGTGATGGTGTAGGGGGGGGTGGTGGTGGTGGTTGGTTTTAGGCCACAAGACTACAAAGCTAAAAGAGCTGCAATGGAAATTTCTCTCGGCGAAAAAAAAAGAGGCAACGGCAGCGGCAAGAAGGACGGCCGAACAAAAAATAAAAAGACTTGAAGGAGCAGCTGCCCCCTTTTCTAGCACATATTCGCCACATTTAGCGGTTTCGCCATATGCTTACTGGATTATCGCTGCATACTTTGTGGATGCACAGCAGGGGAGGCCCTCTCATGCTTCCCGGCAAAGCTGGGATCTGCCCATACGAAGAATGCCCCCTCCATTCTCCCTGTCATATGTAATTGAAAGCACATTTGTGTTGGCCTTAAAAAAAAAAACATCAAAATCACCGATAAAGCCTTCTCTCTCCTCTTCCCTTATTTTTATGGCCGTAAGAATTTTTCGAGATTTAGAAAAATCCGAGATTTCTTTTTTTTCCGCGCCTTTTGTGAATTAATTTTTTTATCAGTGACTCCGTGTTGGCGAGTTCTGCGTACCGCGATGAGGTTTTGCTCGTGCGTGATTTAAAAAACCGGGCATCATCTTTCTTTCACCCCTCCCCCCCCCCGCCAGCCGTTTTGACCGTGAGGACCGATTTCACACGGCAGCAAGCGCCCGCCATCACCACCGCCATCACCACCGCCATCACCACCGCCATCACCACCGCCATCTCCGCCGCAACCACCGCCACCACCGTCGCCACCGCCGCTTCCGCCGCCATCTTAAATGCAGTTGGGGCCTCTGGTTTCACAAAAGCCCTTTGGACGCCTATGCGGCGGTCGCTGCCATGGCGAAGTTTTCCGTGGCGCCCCCCCGCCGCCCGCCGCCCACCGTCCGTCCGTCCGTCGACCAACGTCGAAATGAAAATAAAAATCGCCGAGTACCTGGAGTCCCGCGTCCGACGTCGCCGATCGGCGCGCAAATCCAGCGAAAGCGGGAATCTTCCGGATGGCGCAGATAAAGCTGCGGCGATGTTCCAACGTAAAAAAATTCCATGACCCAGCATGCTCGTCTTCTCGGCTTAATGTCATACGACCCCCTGTTTCTCCACTCTGTTTGCCCTAAATGGATTTTTTTCTCCTTCTCCTCTTCTTCTTCTTCCCCCCTTTGCGACGCGTCCACCGCGGTGGGGCTTCGGCCGCTCGCTTCGTGCCGCCTCGCCGTTTTTCGGCCGCGTTTTGCGCGCCCTCCGCCATGATTTTCCGCTCGCGGGCTCGGATCCTCTTCTGCCGTGCTGCCGCCGCCGCCGCCGCCTCCGCGTTTGGCCGAGTGATGCGCACCGTCACCGTCGTGTGTCCGAACGCCGCGCAGCATCCCTCACCTGCGATTGGTTGTGGCGCAAGGCATCATGGGAGCTCCACGGTCGCCGTGGAAACCGGTCCTCCATCTTCTCCCTGGTCGCCACGGCACCATCGTTCACCAGCCTCCTCAGTTTAGGGGGGGGGGGCAGGGAAGCGGTTGCGGCACTCTGGACGCTGGGCTGGCGTGCTCGCTACGCCAAATCCAGGACGCTGAGAAATTCAAAAATAAGATGAAAGAGAAGCGAAGCCCCACGGGGGTGTCTCCTCCTCCACCCCCCCGCCCCCTTTTCGTTCAAAGGCGGCCGAACGTTCCGTACACAAACGTGTGAAATTGCGATTGGAAGCGAGTGCGGCCACCTGTGCCCCCCGAACCTCCTCCCCGCGTGATTATTTGTAAAGAAATATATAAAAAATATTGACAGTGCGCGTTGTGATGGCGCAACAGCGCGTACATTTCTACGTCGCCGATTTTAACACTCGCTCGTGCAACGCAGCAATAACAACAACGACGACAACAACAACAACAACAACACGGCGGTCGTGAGGATTGCCAGTGCGCATCGTTTTCATCGTTAGCACCGATTCTCAAAATACTAAAACGCGCGGCAGACTCCACTCTTCCAGCCACGTCCACTCCTGCCCAGGGCTCCGTGGAAGGGATATTCCCCTGAAGTGTTCGCGTACGTTTCGGTTTTTTTGTTCTCGGTCACGAGGGGCGTGTGAATGACCGAGGTGGTGAGTTCATCGTTTTGCTGATCATCATCATCATATTCTCTCCTCGTACAGGAGCAGCGATGCAAGACAGACACGAATTTTGGCAGGGACAGCCAGAATAAAAAAATAACATCTTGTTGTTTTTTTGGCGGGGGGGGGGGGGGGGGGGGTTTCCCCTGCCACATGTTTCTAAATTATTGCACTAAAATACACAAAGAATACAAATTGATGTCTGTTTCACTTCTACGAGTGGCTTTACTAGCGTGTGTGAGCGTGTGTGAGCGTGTGTGAGCGTGTATGAGCGTGTGTGAGCGTGTGCTCGTAAAGCCCTCCAGTGTGCTAGGGCGCCACGGCGGCGAGATGTTAACTACCTCGCCTGGTATGCAGGAAGTCGTGGGTTCGATCCCGGCCTTGACGCCTGCTGCTGTATATTTGGAATTTGCATGTCTCTCTCTCTCCCCGTGGTCGCGTAGATTTTGTCTCCGGATCCTGCAGTATGCCCTACACATTTGTCATAATCAACGTGCGTTTAAGGGTATTTGGCTGCTATACATTTCCGCTTGAGCTATCGTTTGTGGCCAGGTCGCATTTGAAAGAGAGCTACATCGCTCAGTGGTGACTTACCCGGTAAAATATATATTAAGGAATTGCGGTCGCGTGGTTTTTTCTCCGGGTCCTCCGGTTTTTCCCTCCACATTTATAATCAAAATCATGTTTTTAGAGTATTTGGCTGCAATACATGTCCAGATGATAAGCCACTTTCGTTGAACTATAATTTGTGGCCAGGCCGCTTCTGAAAAAAGCTACATAAATATAGTAAAAGAAATATAGATAAAAAAAAATTCGAATATCTCCAAATTTAGCCCGAAAAAAAAAGTACGGAGTGGAGGTTGAGGTGGCGTCGGGGGGTGGCCAAGACCAGGTAACAAAAACGATTTCAGGACCAATAATAGTGTTGCAAGGCCCAGGAATGAAGTCCTGGATTGTGGTTTGTTGCATTAAACGGCGCTTACAAAAAACAAGTGTTGACTCGCTACAATTCACCACCGCCTTCGTAATATTAGATCCAGTTATCAAAACAGCTGATCACAGAGGCCTGGGCGGTTGTGCAAACTTCACACAAGAAGGGCCTTGTGCATGGAGGTTGCATTCCAAAACCGCACCTGCAGCTGCAAAAATGCGACTTGGACAGAGACCAGATAGCAGCCTTTTTTTTGGAATGTGCTGCTTTGAAGAGCTGGCTTTGAATTTGACTAAAACATTTGAAAGCATTTTGTGAAATGGGGTGGAGGGGGAAGAATAAAACAAAAAATCCCCGTTCGGCGCGATCCGAAGTTCATCACTCACCTCCAATGGCACCGTGGCACAGGAGGAGAACGTTGTCCATCATCTACAGAGTATTGACGAGGGGTCATTACATTTGTTACCCGATGACAAAGTCGAAGGGCCTTAAAAATGCGCGCCTAGCCAAAAAGGCGCGAGGTTGGCTACGGCGATGACGAGGGATGAAAGCGCGGCATTAATTTATGGGACATGGAGGCGTTACAGTCGAGGGCATCCTGAGAGTGGCGGCCAAAAGTATTGACGATCTTGCATGGTGATTTCATACCTCCACATAGTCTTTTGTTTGTATCGCCGCGTATGTGTGTGTTGAACTTCTTTCGCGCGGTACGTAGCCGACCGTGCTGATCGGAGGTGCGGGGGAAAAGGGCAACAAACAAAATGAACACACAAAAGCAGTTTTTAATCAACGAGTTTTCAACCGCGTGGGTTTTCAACTGCGTGGGTTTTCGCCGTTGTCAACTGGGCAGCTCTCCGATTTGTTTTCACGTCGTACCGCGCATTGTTCGGCACAACATCCGACGTTTTCGCTGAACGTGTTGGGAGCCTTTTGCAGGAAACGAAGGTTCTTTGGGAACAGGAAAGGCTCACAGGACGTGGAGCAGAACGTCGGGCATCGCGCCGGAGAGCACTCTGGAGCAACGTAAAAACCCGTCGGAGAGAAATAAAAATTGTTACAACTTTTCTTATATTTAACTTAACGTAAAGGTCGCACCTCACGCAGATGGAAACTTAAGTCGGCGGTTTAGTAAAAGATCAAGGATCAAGACAACGTGCAATTATTAACTAAAAAATTCCATGGAAAGCGTGGCAATGAGGATCCCCCCCCCACCCTTCATTTAATGTTTGTATTGATGTGTAGCCAGGAGCTCGTGCCAGACACCCAGAATGAGGTCCTCTCTTTCCACCGGCTTCTGCCACTTTTTTGCACGTCGCTCCAGAGCCGCTGCAGGTGTGCGCCTGATTGCTGGCACAGTTTACAGCCAAGGTCATTGTCACTGCGCGGAGGACAAGAGGGCGCGTCTTTGTTTTACCCCGCGCAAACTACTGCGCCAAAACCACGGCACCAGAATGACAACAATGAAGGCTTACATGCGCGCACGTTAGTCCGTTCGCTTGGTACACGCGCGAGCGAGCGCATGTGTCACCGCTGGGATGGATTTTCGCAGCTGCACCGCTCCGCGGCATGGGCCGAATCACGTGTGTGGCGGCGTTCAGAAGGCCCCGACGTTTTGCCCGCAGGCCAAACTCGGCGTCGGCTCCTGCGGCAGCTCCCGGCAATGTGCAGTGAAGCGTCGTGCCAAACACCAAAAGAAACCGCGGTACATCCCGTGAACGCGTCCGAGGAACGGGGCGTTTTACCGTATTGCAGAAATGTTATCGAACGCTGCTTATTAAACAAATAATGAACCGTGAAATAGGTTCGTTATAATGTGGCGCGTAATAATAAGTAAGTCTGGGTCACAGTTGCGTCCTGAGATTGATCGTTCAATTCCCACGACGGACGGCCATCTTGGAAAGCACCAGCTTGTGTGGAGTACAAGCAGTCCCCGACTTACAAACGGCCGACTTGCGGACATCTGCACTTACAAACGCGCACTTGCGGACCTATTTAGTTCGGCAAATGTACAAATGTACAACTGTACAATATTTCTTCTTATTTATGAGTATAACAATGCTTCCTTAACCGTTTCACATTTCATCACACTGACCGTATGTGCATTTAAACAGAGTACATTACTGTGTTCCGACCTACGAACCATTCGACGAACGGTTCGTAAGTCAGATTCAGGTCTCGGGAACAGAACCTGTTCGTAAGTGGGGGCACTGCCCGTAATAAGGAACGTGAAGGCCTGAACGTTGGCACGTACGGCAAGGTATATATGTACGTATGTTGAACTTCTTTCGCACCGTACGTCACCAATTCTCAGACTACAGCCGTGTGTGATGATGCTCGCTCCAGAATGTCACCGTGTGCCAGTAATTAAGATTTTAGTTTGCGTAGAAAAAAGTTAATTGGCAATTAAATAAATCTGCAACAAGCAACGAAAATGTTCATGTTATTCAGTCGCTTGTGAAAGTCTGCAAATGAGCGATAATTATATATGAATGTTAAAACTGTTAAGTGTCACGTTAAAACTGACATTTTCAAAGCAACAGAGCAGCAGATAATCAGCGGAGCCACCCACCTGCGAATTAGAAAGCGAAAGCAAAACATTAATTGGGAGACGTACCCACAGAGAGACGGTCGACTGGTTATCGAGTAAAAAAATGGCGCATGTTACACCAACGTGATTTAGTAATAAAACACAAAATAAATACAAAACAAAACGTGTTGAAGAGGCAAGCCATCTGGAGGACGAGCATAAGTGTTACATATTGCTGACAAGTTAAAAGTTTTACAGCTTGTCATCCTGAAAGTCTAACGAGAATGGGAGAAGAAAGATTCTAAACTAAGCTAGTTATTTATTTATTTTATGAGGTAAGGCCCACTGAGCTCTCCAGCTCTTTTTCAGAAGCGACTTGGCAATCACAAATAATCGGTCAACGAAGTGGCTTGTATGGCGTGGAAATATACAGTCTCATGTTGATTCTAAATGTGGAGGGAAAGTCCAGAGGATCCAGAGAAAAGTCCACGTGACCACGGGGAGAACACGCAAACTCTAAATATACAGCAGGCGTAGGGGTCGGGATCAAACCCACGACCTGTACACCAGGCGAGGTAGTTGGGAGTTGAAAACGTGTCTGTCAACAAGCGGAGAGGGGTAGAAAACCTTCAAATATGATTTAGCACTTCTTTTTTTACTTTATTTCTCTGACCTGTTGTTATTACGGTTGGACAATCCAACAAACAAGATTTTGCACGCAATTTGAATCGAAAGCATTCAACGTAGAAGCTGCCCCGAAGCTCACGGTCCACCCTAAATTGCACCCACTGCACAAACCATGGCAATAAATGCGAATATCTGATGATGCACGAATGGGAAATTTAAAACCCTCCAGTAGAAGCGTGCGACCGTGGCCATCCAGAACAGAGACCGTGCAACGAGTCAAAGTCCGATCCACAAATACGAAGGAGACATCACAGCGATGATTCACTCCTCTGCTCCATCTCTGCCATCATTTAAACTCTCTTACAATCACGAAACTTTCAGTGTGAATGTAATTTTACAACATAATTGCTATTATTATTAAGTGTGTTTGTTTTGTAGATGTGTGATAGTGGAATGCTTTGGTGTCGCCCTACAGAGCTTCCTATTAAAACGTTTTACAGTTTGAAGTGTACAGAGTCCAACAGCAATAATAGGAAGTATACGATTACAAGTTCAGGAAAATATAGAAAAGTTGTACATATTATTGAAGTAATAATAATTATGTTTGAAATGTTGAATTGCATCTCATATCGCTGGACAATAATATATCCATAACCGCATTCAGGGCGAACATTCAATATTTGTATTTGCCAATTATAGAGTAAATAAGAACTGAATGAATCAAATATGTGTTTCACTGCGTGTTCATTTTTCAGAGATAAAGTCTATCAAACACGGATATCTTTTGTATTGTTATCGTCATTTTATGTGAACGCGGGGGCTGGGATTGTTGCTTGAATCTCCACGGATCATTATTATGAATCGGCGGAATGTGTCTCGTGTTCCCCGTGGGTCGGGAAAGAGACGGCGACGTCGCGGGCGGGGCCTGCGATAGGAACCAGCGTTTAAAGAAGTTGCCAAAGTACATCAGCCGGA